TTAAAATGATTTACAAAGAACGTTTTTTTCCTCTTTTCATGCTGTTAAAGCAAATTGGTATGTAATTAGATTTATATAGTGAATAATCTTATTTGCATATCCAATTAATTCTTCCTGTTTTAATTTGTTAGGGTTGGATTCACATTAGTAGTAAAAAATAACACTTAAATTATCAAAGGTTCAAATTTTCTTTTACTATAATTTGTTCAAGATGTTGCATTAAAATTTGGTCCTGAACATCCTCTTCCTTTTAAAGACAATTAAGCAACATGGAAAAGGGCAATCAAAAAAAAACTAACCTGTCTTATAAAAACAGTAAGGGTTTATTTAAGCTGACCAAAGCAAATGCAGTGTGAATTTAGGCTTTTTAAACATCTTACCATAGAACGGTTTTGTCTGGAAGGGACCTTTAAAGGTCATCTACTCTAATGCCCCTGCCATAGTCAGGAGCACTTTCTACTAGGCCAGGTTGTTCAAGCCACATCCAACCTGGCCTTGAACAGTTCTAGTGCTGGGGCAGCCACGGCTTCTCTGGCGACCTGTGCCAGCGCCTCAGCACCCTCACGGTAAACAATTTATTTCTAAGACCTCACCTAAATCCACCCTCTTTCAGTTTAAAGCCACTCCCCCTTGCCCTGTCCCTACATATCCTTGTCAAAAGCCCTTCTCCGGATTTCTTGTTCGCCCCCTTTAGGCCCTAGAAGCTGCTTCTAAGGTCTCCCCGAGCCTTCTCCAGGATGAACAACTCCAACTCTCTCAGGCTGTCTACGTAGGAGAGGTGTTTCAGCCCTTGGAGCATTTTCATGGCCTTCTCTGGACTTGCTCCCTCAGGTCCATATCTTTTCAGCTGTGAGGACTTAAGGTTTGGAGATGTCCAAAGGCTGTGTATAATTTTCACGGAGATAATGGTGGACTTTGTGAGCTTTAGGAGGATTGACTGTTCCCCATAGATTTTAATTGTCACTTGTGGAGACTTCCCTTGAAATCGGAGCACTTTTTCTGAAGACATCTGTTTATCATTTTGATTATCTTCTCACAATTGCATTCAGAAATGCAGAAGATAAGTAAATACTAGAAGAGGAACCTGATTTAAATGTTAACATGCCTTAAATTCCACACATTTCAACACAACAGGGAGGTGTTTAGCACCTGTGAAAACAATGCCACTTCCCTAGGTGTGTAATTTTACCAGCTTCCTGCAGACCTCTGCAACTTCACTGGCTATTCAGAGGGTTGGGATTTTTCAGATGTAGTCCATGAAAAGTTCCGTTTTTGCTCTGAACTGGGAAATAGCTTGGCACAGTCCCTGCTTATAAAATTATGCCGAAGCTGAAAGAGAAGCTCTTGGACTGTGAAAGGGCTCAGGGGATCTTACCAGGGGTGAAAAGTCAGCAAGCCAAATATATATTCAAATGTGCTGACGCCAGTTTGCCCCCAGCATGCATGAGGCATACAAGTTATGGTCCTGCTTCCCAGTTATCCTTACAGCTGATTTTGAGTTTGGGAGCAGAGGTCCTTTAGCTGTGGAGGAAAAAACGAAGAGATTGATGAAGGCTGGAACAGATACATTGTAACCTGAAATTAAAGTGATATTTCAGTACAGTGAAAGTGCAGGCATGTGAAGGGGACTGGACTCTGGCAGAGGAGAACCTGTTAATTTGAAGTAGAAATATCAGAACAAAACATGTCATTATGGCTGGGTGGATAAGAAAGAAGTGAAACATTGTTTGCCATGGTGAGAATGGCACCGTTAAATGTCTAATGGTGTCTTCATTTAACGTCACTTGAAGCATTCCATAGATGTGGCATGAACCTGCTTAAGCTTCACAGTGCAGTTTCACCTGGAGTCTTTTAATTCAGAGGGTGTTTCAGCGCGGAGATCAGGCATGGTATGATGTCTTCGCCCAAATGCTTACAATTCAGTGATTACCCATGAACTCAAGACCAGCAAGGGTGCAGTCATGCTGCTGCTGTTGAACTACCACAGTGAAAAATGTATGAGCTTTAGTAGGCTAAAGTTGTCACAGTGCAGGTGGGTGCGCATAGTTTGTCTTCCATACAGGAGGAGAAAACTTTGCCTGAACTTTACGTATATACACAGGAGTGCATTATTTTGCTGCTGTTATTTTGAAGTGTCCGTTGGATTCTTAAGAGATTTTTGGATGTGCTCCTGTTGTGACTGGGAAGAATCTTCTACCCCTTGGGAAGATGTCTGTCCATCTGTCAGAGCATCAACTTGATGTACAAGCTACCTATTTTTAACCTTTTCTGACAGGAAGCATGCTGCCCACCTCTGAGTGCCCTTCCCCCTTGTTGCAATGAGATTGATAGCAAAGGTATCTGCTCTTCTCATTAAAGTTGTGGGTGTTGATTTCAGTTTAATACAGTTTTATTTCATCTTTGCTTCAGTGAATCTCTCTGCTTTTATTTGATTCCAACGTTTTGAGCAGCTTGTTCTGCAAAATGTTAACTGATATCAAAAACCACACAAGTTTTATTCTTTCTGATTAAGAAGTAGGCTATGGAGTTGTGGACTTTTATTACTGCTATTGGATGGCTAATGAAAGGAAGACTTGATTACAAGGAAAAATGTCATAAATGATTGACATGCAAAGTCTAAAAATCCGTGGGACTTCCTTCTGTCTGACATCTATAGGCATGGGCTTCATGCCCCATGTCTATTGAAATCAGACAAAAAACACCCCGTGATGACAGTGGATCGATTGCACTGGGACTGAACTATTCAAGAGGCTTTAGCAGAAATTGTGTCATTGAAATGGAGATAAATGAAAAATTGGTGTACCATGAAGCTGCTTCAAAGTGAGCAGGGAACATTGTGGAGTAAAGGGTTAAGAATTGAAAATAAAACCAGCATACTTAAATGATTTAATAACTGAGGAAAATATTACCATAATTACCTTGTAGTGATTTGAAATGTGTCCTGAGGTAAATTGCATTGGATCCTAATTAGGAACTGTTGGTTACTAGCTAAATCTGGTGCCAGGGCAAAAAATTAAATAGGTACAAGTGTGTAGCAATTGCCTGCATCCCCAAACACTGCATCTGATGTCCCATTTTGTACTATTTCTACTAAAAGGTGAAGTAACTACTACAGATCCAAGGTAGTCTGCCTGCAGGTCACAGGAAACACCTCGGTTGTGTTGCAGCCAGACAGTATGAAATACAAATAAGGTGACGGTGGAAAAACAATTTCTGTGTGCTGGCTTTATCTCATGAGGAACAACTGCATCCTTCTATTTAGTAATAAAAATAAATTGCATAACAGGGCCTGTGCCCCTGGTAGCTTTGGCTACAGCTGTAAGAAATGACTAGGTATACAGATAATATATTCTCTCTTGTTCCCTCTAATCCATCCGTCTGCCTACTTTGTAAACTGCACTTGACCAAGCTACAAACAGCTCTTAGTTTCTGAGGGCAGGAAAAGACAGTACACGTCCCTGCGTGTTGGAAAACTAAGTGAAAATGACCTCTAGCTTCAAGGCACTTATTAAAAACTTATTTTAAATTGAATACACAAGCCAAGATAATACAGGCTGTTTGATGAGAAACATTAGAGAAATCCATAACACGAGGCTTTTTATTATAGGTTTATTACATCAATCTCTGCAGTGGGTAATGGAACTTGTAAATATGCTCTTATGTAGGAGTCTCCTTGCGGGCTTTTTATTCATGCTGAAGTAAGCACAGCAAACTTATTTGCTGTCAGGGTACAATGAATTTAAGATTAGTATTTATTTTGGTTCTAAAGAGGTTTTGCTTTTGTGAATTGGAAGTTGGCGGAACAGCTGGAGGAGATGTGGTGGGAGCTGCAGGGGAGCGCGGGGAGTGAATGAGTTTTCCAAGCAAACCACTGATGCCCACATGGGGTATGGGGTGTGCATACACACTGGGGGGTGTGGGTTGTGTGCTTCGCTGCTCGCTTCGGTGGTCCTCCTCTCCTTTGGGAGGAGAGAGTTGCTTTATTTAAGAAGGAGCTTGCTGGTTTTCCAGTGAATAAACCCAGCCAGGTGAAAAATCATCTGTGGGATTAGAGAAATGTTTAAGGGCAATATTTACTGCATTACCATGCATATAAACATTCTCACAGTGTACTTTTTACTGTACACATTTGTTCTTTAAGATACTTTGAGTTCTTTTCTGGAGGTAAGCAAAGTTATACTGCTGCAGCAGTAACCCAGCATGCTTTCAATTACTTGGGAGAAGGCTAAGGGTAAGTTTGTACTGAATAAAGAGTAAAAGAAAAAGTTTACATAGAAGTTCGAAGGACAAAAAGAGTTAAGGCTTTAACAAAGTTAACAAAAAAACCCTGCAAACCAGACTTACAGCTTTTAAGTCTGTTCATTGGAGGATATAGTAATTAATTGGCAGTTGACTTAATATAGGGGAAAACCTCTTTAATTAGAGGATATTAATTGCAAGGACCAGAATCCTGTTGAGGTGTCAAGTGAAGTCAGCATTTAACACCTGACTTTGACAGCTTGACTGTTGCAGTTAATTCCTGTTCTAATTATAGGGGTACATTTTAATTCACACAGTACCAGGCAAAATGTGTTGTAAACAGCCTGCAAATGTCTGCAGTTGTATATAAAATACATTTTTTACAATTTTCCATTGCATAGCTCAGGTACATTTTTTTGAATTGCAAAGCTTAATTCAAGTCACACAACCTTCAGTAAACAAGTTGTTTGCAATTGAAATCCCTATTTTTCTAATGGATGATAGAGATGGAAAAAAGTGAAGTGGAGAACTTGAGACCAGTTCTGAGGCAAAGGCTTTACCAGCTCCAGGTATCTTGGACAGGGACAGGGCTTGAAGCTCCCCTGGGTACTGTTGCCTACAGGGCAGTGGGTGTTGAATACATGTAGGCTCGCTTTGTAAACAATTTGGGTGGTGGAATATCCAGTTTTGTAAACAGCTACACTGCGTAACAACATAGCGTGAAGGGATGTATTTTATGTTGGTGCAGAAGAAACAAGACCAGGTTTGAGTGATGTTTTGCATTTCCAACATTGACAAAGATCATCTTACTATATGAGACAGATTATGATTGAAGAATGAATGATGTGTATATTTAAGGTCTGAGGGTAACAAATGTGCTGGTACTATGAAACCACTTAAAACCCATGAGAAAAAAACTGTTCTGTTTATCCACCTATTTAGGCACTTCCTTCGATACTATACTACTGCACTGTAACACTGCCGCTGATGTGCATTAGCAGATAGCGTAAGACTATTTTTGTTATACAGTTGTACATGTATTAATTATGTATTATCATTTCCATCTTGTGCATGTTTAAAAAGGCAGTGGTTCTATAAAGGCGTTTTTTGTCATGTCTTTCAGTTATTTTTTCACTGCTTATTTAGTGCTCTGACAAACTTCCCCAGCAGCCACAATGCTGAGAGCAGCGGCACTTCTCATGTGAAGCACTCTTAGGTACAATGGTTTGAGCAGCAAATAGGTCAAGAGAAATTTACTCCATGGCACTGATTTCCAGCTGCTCACAGAACAACGCTCTGATGAGATGGCAGAATGCTATCAGAGTGATCTGTAAAGAATTATTCTCTGTTTAATTACTTGGTCTACACATTCTTTGTTATGGAGTGTGGTGGTGGTGTTCTTCAAGAAGTTTAAACCAAAGCTCTTTGTTCCAGATAAAAGGCAGCTTACAGAAATTGTCTTTGAGGCATCTAATAAAGCAAGCAGGAGGTTCTTTGTAGTGCATTCTCAATCCAGTATAATCCTAAATTTTCAAAACAGAGAAAGCCATTATTTTTTATTAATTGTCATGGAAAAAATTGCTGGAGCAGTGCACATTATTCTGATTATCCATTACGCCTTCTTTTCACTAGAATGAAATTATATTATTTTAGTTACTTTTCTTGCTTGTAACTTCTGACTTGTATATACCAAAAGAAGAAAACTACCTGTTATCCTGGAGCTTCTTATCTCCCAGTTGCCAAAGTGCTGCAGACGGTCACAGCATTCAGATGAGTAATGCAGGTCAGCTCTGATTTGTGGCATTGTCCTGATATTTGGGGCTATTTTTTGTAAAACACAGCAAAGAATAGCATTTATTAGTTTGCACCGGAGTTCTAATCTAGGACTTTTATAAAGCCCTCAGCAACTTACTGGTTTGGCATAAGAGGACATTATGTAGTGGCTGATTTATTTCACTGGATCGCATCAACAGAGTAAAATATAATTTCTTGTTAAACAATAAAATCAATGTATTTTAAAATTAGAAAGTAATAGGCCGCAGTCAGGTGACTTTCTCTTGAAGAAATACACATGATCTCCCTTCCATTTGACTGTTGAGTTGCTCTGCACATTGATACTGAATTTGTTTTTTATCCCTAGTCCTTCTATTACAGTGCACTTCTTCAGAGCTTTTCCTTATGTCCTTTGCCTAACAGCAAAACAAGAGCCTCCTCAGGGGACCAACTAGCTGTATTTCATCCCTGGAGATGCAATTATTTTGTGTTTATCCTCAGTCCCTCTAGGTGACAGGATGCAGGCAGTTCTCAGTGTAGGCACACAGAGAGGACAGGCTCCTGTAAACTGCCGTGCGTTGGTCAGCTTGCTCACTTGGCTTCTCCTTGGTCCCCATGATAGTGAGAAGGTCTTGGAAGCTGTGGTAGACTGTTGTATGTATCACAATGGCACTGGTTTGCAAATTGTTCATAGGAAATGCTGTTTGCATCAGGACAAAGTCTAATCTGAAGTGCCTGTTCACAAGTCGCTTCATTTTGTATAATATTTGTGTTTGAAGTATCAGCATCCTCCTGGTGAAGACCCAGAAGTCTCCATAAGCAAAGAAAACTGAAACTTTACCTTTGGGATAGGCTATACTGTTTGGTAGTTGCTGCTCTTTGATATCCTTATATTGCATTAAGGACTGTTTCCAGGATTTGTTTTCTCCTTTTATAAGAAACACCTTAAAAAGGAGCTTTTCTTCCCAAAGCCACCCTGGGTGGTGGAGGTTTAAATGGGCCATTAGAGATGAACTCTGTCTCTGGGGCAGCCCCACCATGCTGCTCTTTGAACATGAGTGAGGAATGTTTGAAAGCTTAACCTGGTAGTGTTATGTGACATAGAAGAAAGACTCTACTCATAAATGCCATCAATCTGAGCACTTTTTGAGAGTGATAAATTGCAGTGTAAGAAGTCATAAAAGTCAGGGTTTTGACAGCTGTTACTGATACCTTTTCCCTGCTACTTAAAAGTTCATAACATTTTTAAAAAATTAAAGGAATACATGCTATCCATGGGCAGATTGTACAGATTGTGCTCCTGGTTGCTCTTTTGATGATGAGTTCTGTTTGAATTCCAGGAATTTTATTTAAGCCAACCTCAATTTGACATTCAGTGACATTAACTTTAATGCTGGGTTTTGTGTGGGATCTCGTCTTTGCATGCCACTCTCTTAAAGGGGGTGACCCTGCAGAATAAATGGGGGTAAATAGTGACTTTGAGAAGAAGGGCTGCAGAGTCTCTGGGGGCACTGCAGGTCCCTGTACTAACCATGGCTGTGCAGAGCGGACATGGTTGCTCGTGGTTGGTGTGCCTGAGCAACAGGAGCTGCAGCAGCTCCCCTGAGCCCATGGCGTGGCTTCTCCGTGCAGGGAATCCTCCACTGGAGCAGGAGTGCTTTTTGTTCCTGTTCTGCTGAGGGTTACAGAAACATTAAAAAGTAAAAGAAATTGAAGGCTACCACCTCAAATATGCACTGAATTGATGCAATTCCACTAACTGATGAAGTTACAGAGATTTACGTCAGCTGAGGTGCCAGCCTGGTCTCCCAACCGCAGACTTCAAATTCCTTAAATCCGTTTATATAACATACCCACCTGGAGATTATAGCATTGGATCCTGTTTACAGAATTAAACGCTTTCTTGCTCTAGCAGCAATGGGAAAACCTAGTGAGGTTTTCCTGTTCACGGCCAGCAGCCTGCCCAGCATCATGACACTGTGCAGTGTGATGCCTGGCACGTCTCAAGAGAACGTGCAGTACAGCAAGGACTGCAAGAAGGGCTTTGATTGACTTCTTTGTGTAACTGTGAAACAGGGGTTATTCTCTTTTCCTAAATAAGTTGGTTATGTTTAAACCCCAGATACCCAGGATGCCATCAGTCTTGCATTCAAGGCAGCTGGAGACCATTACAAGCTGATGCCAAATTTTGCACCAAAAATATAAATACATTACATTATAAACAGGAGTCTTCCTTGTCTCACCATTCTTTCAGTAATACTGGAAATGGTTATATTGAGGTATTGTCCTGTTTTTCTTAAGGCGAGAGCTGGACTTGCTAGAAATAGTAGCAAAAATGTGATACAATACTTGTAATGAGGCAGAGGCTTAAAAGGTGCCTGTGCCAGTAGTCAGATAGGAAGGACGCAAACCCCATGCTTACCTTATTCTGAATATGTTACTGAAGTATTTGCTCATGGGGCCATGTGTGAAACATCATGTTGAATTTGTAACTGACACATGCTGTAGGGAGCTACATATCTCAAGAAGAGGAGTTTGGGAGGGGCTCTGAAAGGCTCCACAGCTGAAGTACAGGGGTGGTGGTTCTGCATCCTTCCCAGGGCTTGAAAATGAGCAAGTACTGTCCTTCATAGCCGTGACTGCTGTATCTTGGGAGAAACTGTACTCATCTCCCATGTGCTCTTTTCTTACTCTTTTGTTATATGGAAAATCAGATAGAGAAATTGCAAATTGCAGCAATGTATTTACAATTTCATTCCACTGCTGTGTTAATTCCACAGTCTCTGCTTTTATATACTCACCTCTGCTAAATGGTTGTCAGTTAAACAAAAGCTGCACATCTTAACTGCATCTGACTAGCACCTTCAGTTGACTAACATGGGAGAAGACACAACTCCAGCAGGTGGAGATGATGAAACTTCATTCCTTTGTCGTGTTTTATTCTTGCCCCAGGGATAAGCAAATGTTCAAGTATTGCCAAAACCAAGCAGACAAGGAGAAATATGCATGTTTTGTATTGAGCTAAGAAACAGCTGCTTTACTCTCTGCTTTGCTCATATTTTGTGCCTGTTGGTTGGTAGTAAGTCAAGCATGCTAGCTGAATGCTGGTCTGCTAGGAAAGCATTTCTGATATTCCTATAATTACTCAGCAGCACTATGTACTCTGGGCATAAGCAAAGGCTTATTACAGCAGTTCTCAGCACTGCTCTTAATACTGTGCAGCCAAGTGTCAAAGTCATCCCTGATCTCCTCTCTTGTATACAGCATTATGTTTTCTTGTAATAATTGCAAAGTATGTGCTCGTGACCCAGAATGAGCAATATTTGCAGTGCTCTGTTGACAAACTGAACCACCATACCTGCATTTTCTAACCAGTGGCACAGTGCAAATGATGTTACTGATCTTTTGCTCTAAGTGTGCCAATCTGATGGTCCCTTGCTCGCTGCTACCCAGGAGCAGTATTGCACTGCTCACAAGTTGCTGGTAATTCAATCTGTGTATTCACAAATGTTTCAGAACTGAATCCATTGCCTAAACCTCTCTGTAAATAGCTGGAGAAAATGTTGGCAGGAATCAGTTTTACTTCAGACAGTTGCTAATGTGTTTAAACCTGAAAACAAAAAACAGGCTTCACCTTGAAGCAATGCACCAGGAGACAGTTCCTTTCACCTTGGAGAATTCTGTGAGGCTGGGCTCTTCCATCAATTGAGAGCCTGTACACACTGCCAGAGTTGTCTTTGTTTTTCAAGCAACAGATGATACAGAGATTATAGGCTGTTGCCCCAGGGACTTCTCGTTTCTAAGGCTCCAGGATTTTAAAGGAAAAAGGCTTTTTCAGTATGACTGTTTTATAGCTTTTTACTATCCACTGGTGGGGTCGGGAGAACAGCATTTGTTAGCCTGGCTTTTACACACTTTTGTTATTACATGAAAGATTAAAATCAATTGAAGTTCAGGGAGGTATTTCAGGAAGGAAATATGTAGCTTTAAAATATGCACAAACACCTACTAATTCTGCCTTCTTTTTAAATATTCGCTTCATAGTCCCTGTCATATTCAAGACAACTGAAAATATCTTACAATAGTATGTGCTCTTGGAAGACAACAATTATATCAACACGTTAAATCAATAGGTAATTATGCAGACCTTAAGGTATTTACAATACTTTATCCACAAATAGCTCTATAAAAGTGCAGACTTTGGGAAGAGATTGAAGAAGGGTTAAAAGGCAACTTTGTGTGCACAGTAATGTGCTGTACTGGGGCTCGGTCAGAAGTGGAGGTAATGTCAAACTGATTTTAGATTGGATATAAGGAGGAAGTTCTTTACTGTTAAGGGTGGTGAGGCCCTGGAATGGGTGCCCAGGGAAGTTGTGAATGCTCCATCCCTGGCAGTGTTCAAGGCCAGGTTGGACAGAGCCTTGGGTGACATGGTTTAGTGTGAGGTGTCCCGGCCCGTGGCAGGGGGGTTAGAACTAGAAGATCTTAAGGTCCTTTCCAACCCTAACTATTCTATGATTCTATGATCAGGTGTGAATATAAAGACTTCTAGTAGTCTAGGATGCTAGCAACAGCCTTCTAAAAGAATTTAACAGATTCAGGTCTCTTACTAGGCAAAAGCCATTCTCAACCTGAATTGTAGTCTTTGCCTATTGCATCCAGCACTTGTTTTCAACAGGGATGGAAAAAAGAAACAGCCCAGTATCAATTTCTAGCTACAAGATACAGATGCAGTCAGAATTCATAGATCGTGGCAGCAGTCCTCATGTTTGGACTTTGCCTGTGCTTTCCTGAGGGGTTACAAACAGCTCTGGAAGCCACCACTGCTGGTGGCACAGGGCTATGGAAATCTGAGGCCGTAATTCATCAGGCATGGGATGTGGCTGCTACCCCCACTGTGCCCATCACCTGCATGCATGGTGATGGATGAGGAAAATGGATTGAGGCAAGGTGTCTCAAAGCTGCTCTTCAGTGGTTAAAATTAGTGCCGTGAATGGAGTACACCATGATCTGCAATTGTGTCTCCCTTAAGAACCAATTTCTTTGTCACTGACTGACCTCCTCAGTTGAAAGTGTCATGTATTGAGTTGAAAGAATTAAAAAACATGTAAACAATTAAACAGATTAAACACAAGTATTTCATCTAAGGCTCCATGTAATCCAGTCATTGGAGATGTTCTGAACTCAATTCTTAAATATACAGTATTTAAAAGCAGATTGGCAAAATGATATTTGCAGTGGCAAGTAAGTGTCATTTTCACGATGTTCAGCTGCAGCTGAAGTACGTAGCAGGGAGCTGCATGTAAATGAGCACAGCCCATGCAGGTGATGTCCATCATACCTGTCATTTCACTTCCATTCACAGAGGAAGTAATAGCCCCAGCGTTTGGTCGCTATGAATGTGTTCATTTTGTCTCCATGTACACTCATGAAACAAGAAGAACATGAGCTAATGTGAGAGTATGACTATTTTTTCTCTTGTAACCAGTAGATTTGACAAATTAAGTACTGACACAATACTCCGAGTTGTTATAACAATGGTCATAGGGGAGAATGAAAAAGAAAACTGAGGAAAATTTATCCAACTGAAGAGGCAAGTCGTGTTTTGACCAGGGCTCAGTTCAGGAACGTGCTAAAGGCATTCTGGCAGGTGGATTTCTGGTCACAGCTCAAATCTATGAGAGCTGCATGTGCACAACAACAACAAAGATAATTTGAGCTGTCTGCATCCCATAGTTAAGTGTAGAGGAGTAAGCAGTTTAATGTAGGTTTTTAGATAATTCAGGTTTAGAGTTCTCATTCCTAGGGACAGAATAGGTTTGAACACATTCAAAATAGATATGTTATGCAGCAGCTTTTGAGAAGCCAGTGAAACTGTGGTATTTTTCATCTCAAAAGCGGAATGTGTGTCTTTGTTACTTCAAGAAGAAAAATGTGCCCTTGTTTATTTATTTATTACTGCTCAATGGAAGCAGTAGATGTATTGTGCTAGGTAAGGGCAGAATTTTAATTTCCTCTCATAATCCTGTGTTTCTGGGGTTGTATATATAACTCTGCTGAATTATTTCCTCAGGGCTAGAGCTTAACTTATAAGATATCAGAATAAGCTTGATTATTATTTAAGTATTTAAAAGTGTCTTTCAAAAATATCTCTTTGGTCATTTTTACTGTTTCAGCACTGGAGGTCAACAAATAACCTGATCATTAATAAATAGGAGGCCAGTTCTGTGTTACCTTTTGTATCTGATCTTTTGGCAGAAGACCTGCAGATGCCCCAGTGCTGTTCTATTGCATTACTGTTATTATTACTGTTGTTACTGTCTCATAATTATTCATAGCTCTACTGTGGGCTGTATCATCCTTAATGGAGCAATGCAAGTTTATCTGTTTATCTTCCTGGTGTTGGCTGTGATGACTCAGGAAGAAGGCACTTGGAGAAGAAACTTGTGATTTTCTGCAGTAATGGAGAAATGTGCTTTTATCATACACTGAAGAGAACATCTGTGGTGATAATCATGCTGTTGACTTACTAAGAGAACACAAATAACGTCCTATTAAATAAGGTTTTTGTTGTAGGACAAGTCACTCATTACACTGCATTGGGAACTGCCTCCTCCTGGCTGTCTAGACTTAGTAAATGAGGCACAGGGAAAACTTGCTGCTTTTGCATGTATGTGGATCAGGTAGCAAGACTTTATTTGAAAAGTGCTAACTTGCTGGCATCTCCTATAATTAATCATGTGGCATTTAAGTAGGTGAAATTACAGTACTGCTGTGGTGCAGGCCGGCAGGCTGGATGAGAGGTTTCACAGCTGAGCTCCCCGAGCTGGAGCCTGACCTGCGGTTGACATTTGCACATTTGCAGCAGGACCCTGGGCAGAGGTGGCTGGTGGGCTGGCTCCTGACCTCTCCTGAGCTGCTGGACCCCGGGCTTCCCTCAGAGGTCAGAGCACGCTTGCGTTGAGGTGAATGTGTTTGACCCTGCCTTTAATTCAAACTGCTCCAGATACTTGGGTCACCCATAAATAGTGTTGTCAGATCATTACGTTTCCATTTCAAATTCTGGAGCGCTCCCATGCCAGCATTTATAACAGTGAAGATTTATTTCTTCCTGTGTTCTGGATGCTCATGGTTGCATTACAGTCTCTGAGGAGTGTCTGACACTCCTTTTGAACTCAGCCATCAGATACCTGCCTCTCAGATGCCACCTGTCAAGCATGGATTCCCACTTTGAGTGCACTTGTACTTGGTACAGCAGTGATCTGGGAAAAAAGATCATGTCAGAAAAGAGCTGACAGTGGGAGGAGCTGGCTTGTGGTCCCTGTTGGAGACCTGTAGGATGCTCCAAAGCAAGCCCAATCCTGCACCCTGGTGCTGCAAGCAGTCAGGAGAGAGGTGGTGGCTCTCTTACTCATCCAGCTTCTTGCCTCATAAGCAAGCCTGCAGGGAAGGTTGTGAATGCTCCATCCCTGGCAGTGTTCAAGACCAGGTTGGACGAGGCCTTGGGTGATATGATTTAGCGTAAGATGTCCCTGCCCACACCAGGGGGGTTGGAACTAGATGATCTTAAGGTCCTTTTCAACCCTAACTATTCTATGATTCTATGATTCTAAACAGGATCGCTGGGTGGTTTTTTTGCTCCCATGGCTCAGAGTATTACCGTGGGACCGCAGAAAGTGCATCTTATGCAGTGATGGGGTGATGATGAGAAGGAGGGGGGAAAGTCTTATCATTTGCTTCAGCTTTGCTGAAAGTATGTGATTGTTGTTGTTCCATTCTCTTTATTATTCTTGAATATTTTTCTTTCTTAAAGATGTGGGCCAGCCATGGTGCAGTGGTAGGCAGGAACTGTTAGCAGCCCAATGGTGGAGGCAGGCTGGTGATCATCTCCAGAGATGCAGAGCTATGAGGCCCTTCCCTTAAAAATAACACTTCATACATGACTTTTTTGATCTCCTTTTTTTTAA